GGGCTAGTGATAATACGAAGAATGGGGGCATGTTGAAAGATTTCCAGAGACAAAATCTGACAAAATTGGCCTGCTTTACAATTTGACAGCTGTCCCCAGCTAATCCCGAAAACTGTGCTAGGGACAGCAGTACGGACATTTGCCCAGGCAGCCTAGTAGGAAACATCCTAGAGGTACATAGCAACATCTTGAATAAAAACTAAAAGTGAGTTTGAATACATGCAGATTAGCAATACTCAGTGTTAAAAACACAGTAAAATGCAAGACAGAGTGGACATCAAGTATAGGAAAATTGCTTCTCACGAGTGATTCTGGCAGCTCTCGAGAAAAATGATCAAAGTTTCAAAAGATTTTAACAAGCCTGAGGGGTATTACTTTAGAATGATCAAGAGTAGGGTATGTGCGGACGCAAATGTGGTGGGAAGAGGAATTTCTTGAGAAGAAAAAACAATTTTTCTTGGTGATGGTGACAGGGCAAGAAGAAAAAAGAAAAATTGCCTCTCCTCCGAGCTCTACGCAGTTCAATTAGTGCAATGTCACTTGAGAGCATGGAACTTGGGTTGGCAGACAGGCATAAAGGATACAAATGGAAGAATACTAGCCCTGAGGAGGCATTTCATGCTGCCTCTGAGATGGGGTGCGGTGTACCTGGGCTGTGGTATAATACCTACTGTGTTGGGGAGAGGTGAAATGTTTTTGTCTCTGTTAAATCCTCCCAAATAACCCTGAGGAATAAATCACTCTGCATCCCTTAATTCTATGACATATGATGTTTCATACTTAAAGCAAGTTCTTATCAAAGGTGCAAACACCCCCACTGCCCCATGCAAGAACAGTACAGCTGAATGTACTTAATCATGGATAAGCTTGGGCTGCCTTCCATATTAATGCTCGAGATGCCTTCTTGCTCATTACAGTCTGGGGCTCCTGCCAAAGTACTAAGTCCAAAGTGAGCGGACTCTGCCAAGAATGATCTGGACTAGGTTAGGATGAGGGAGTCGGGGTGGTCGAAAAGAAGCGAGAGGCCAAAATTGGTTAAATCAAATTAAACCTTAAGTGGAGCCATATTTTTCTGGGTAAACAAACATTCAGATAGAATGACAGTTATCCTATTTCCACATCCTAATATGCTGCTAATAATTAATGAAGCAGTATTAAAATGAGCATAAGCTATTTCTCCATAGAAACATTTTCTCATCCAAAAGTCTTTTTCTAAGGAAGAAACGTTTATGCTAAAATATATCTGTATATATCTTTGGAAAGAAAGTCTTCTTTAAAACATTATTACTCTGCTATGAAAAATAAAATGCATTATACTCATCATTTCCAAATTTAGACCACTTCTCTTTGGGTAGAAGGCACATCTTTAAAATAGCAATTGTTTCTGGAAATGCACATATTTAATTTATATCCTCACATTCAGTTGCAAACATAACAAAAGCTCTTTCAAAAATGTATTTAAATAGACAGCATACATTTAAAAAAGTATAGGTAATGAATCTCAATGTAAGATTTTTATTCAAACACACTGTGAACACGGATTTGCAACTTATAAACAAAATATAATTTCCTGGAACTTGCTTGTCTTGAGTTGTATAACTCATAAAGGAAAATGTTAAGACCAATGGAGGTTTAATGCCCCATATTCAATCTCCTATTAAGCAGAATTTCAAAATAAAAAATATACAGTAAAAGTGCACTTAAATCCACTCAACACATTATAGACTAAAAATTAAAATATGTATTGTATTATGCACAGCAGAGTCAAGGGCATCAGCCAACTGACCTGATAATCCAGTAAACTATTTAGAAGTTTTCCACCCAGATAAGAGCTTTGGGTATGCTGCATGCCTGAGCTATTTAGCATCACAAATATTCTTAGCAGAAAGCCACTCAAATATTGCTGTCACTTCAGCACTTCTAGAGAAAGAGCTATCATGTTGATAGGTTCTGGTTTAAAAGGGAGGCTTTTTATGAGACATTATAAATATTGATTTCACTAACAGATTCAGAACACTTTATGAGCTTGTGTACATAATACCAACCTTTCTATTTATATCACTGAGTTAGATTTCAACGGGGATCCAAACACCCAGGATTTTTCAGGCAAATCTTGAAAGACTCTTTGGGCAATAATAGTTTGGAAGTTCTTATTTCTTTCTTCCAGAAGAGCTCATGTTTTTGAGAATTTGAATGACAAATCACAGCATAAGAGACTAAAGTTCTAATAATTATTTTTTTCCTAGGGAACTAGCCACCCAGGCATCCAGAGAGAAGGTTTCTTTTCAAATGAAGCGTTCCATGAATATAATTTGACAACCTGCAAGATGGTGTAGTGTGGGCTGGAACGAGTCACAACAGTAGAAAGACAGCCCTTGCCATCAAAAAGACCTTATGATCTAAAGAGAGATGAAGGAGAGTGAACAAGCATGTGCAGCTATGCTAATATTTACATAGGCCTATGCATAACATATATAGACGCATAAGGAAGTTCAATATTTTTTTTAACGAACAGTACGTTAGGCTCAATCTGACATATACTGAATTTTCCTCATGCACAGGGACTAAAGATATGTGCGTCTCTTACTGCTATAATTTGGTTATATTTTTTTTTAAAGCTCTAACTTATGGGTGAATGGATGATAGAGTATTAATGTGGTTCCAAAAATAGGAAAATAAATCTAAACCTAAAAACCAATTGGAAAGGAGACAAATAACCTAAGGCCAGTGATAAAATCGAACTTTACAAAAGAGCCACAGTGGGTGTACCTCTAACTAGATCATACTTCCAGCTTAGAGAAACAAATAGCAGTCTCTTCTAAAGAAGAATTGCCATAAATAATAGAAGCTGGGGAATATTTCCTAAATAATGAAAATTCCTGACAACTCAATTTATTTTCAGGTGAATTAAGAAAATATGGACACCTTCAAACAAATTTCTGTGTATAACATCACACACACAAAAAGGGAATTCTATATGAGAGCGAATATATAATGAAGTCACCACAGATAGCCTTCCACAAATATACTTACAAGTAAACACGTGCTTGCTTTAGAAAAGCCAATTGCTCTGAGGAGAATTTCTTTTAAATTTAGGATTTTTCACAACAGTATTTACCTTGTCCTTCACAGACTTACAGGTGAGAGGAAGGGTTTATTATTTATTGCCCTGATCAATTAACTTACATTAAAATATAAAGTATGCATTGCGGTGAAGTTTTTTGATTCAAGTTTAATTAAGCCACATACATGCTAGAGATCTGAGATCTCTTCATATCAGAATATACTCTGTACTAAATTTATTTCTGATCATTAAATCCTAGGATTCATTTCTGAGCATCACAACAAACAAATGTCTTTGGAATGCTACAATTCCCTTCCTGAACTCAAAAGTTAGAGAGACCGCCTGCAGACAGGCCCACCCTCACTTAATGTTCACCATGGAATTTATCTAAATTATCCTCGAACTTGGGCTTAGTTTTTAGCTTGTACTACTTCTTAAGGTAACAAGTTTTACATGTCAGTTAAGTGTTTAGAACAAGTTTCCATTGAGTTATAACAGGCTTACATATACCTTTATCTTATTCAAACTCTCAAATTTGATAGACACATTTCTATACATTTGCCTTTGCACACTGAGAGTATAGTCTTAAAGTCTATGTTCAAATGAAGTCCTTTATTCTCTTGATAATTCCCTAGTTCATAAAATTAGCATACTAAAATTAGTGTTTAACACTAGTGTTATAAAGGCTTAGCTTTCATTGATAGTTTGAGGAGAAGATGTAAGAATTGTCATACATTATTTATAACTACAGATGCTTAGCAGTTATTTTCCATTTTAAAGGCCTGAAAAATTCCCTGGGGAGGGTCAAATCATCCTCATACAAAGTATTCACTTGAAAGTCTTCCTCCTGACCATACACCTGTTTTATTCCTTTCTTTGTACTGGAGTAAGGCTTATCTCCCAGACTCTCTCTGCTCTAATTACTTCCCTCTTGTTTTCATTAATCATATCTTGCTCTTCCCTTCACCTAACTACTGTACTTGTGGAGGTGTTTTTCTGGCAACTTTTTTGTTGCTTTTATGATCCTCTGCCTTGTTTTCCACAATAGCTTTACAGATGCTTTGAGTGAAGAAATTATGGTCATTATTTTACAACATAACCTTAAAAAACAAGACTAGCATAATACTCTGCCCTGTCTCAGAACATAAATATTTTTTGCTGGAATGACAATTTTTCATTTTCAGTGAGTTATGTGTCTTTTATCAAAACTTAGGAAAAAAATAGCTAGAGATATTGGTCCTGAATTGACAAATGATACCTAAATACAAGTAGTATTAGACACATCATTCAATAAGAATATTCCAATATAATTAAGAATGCTGAGGATGGCAGTTTTATTAGACATCTGTATGGAAGACTATCCTTCGAGGTTCCATTTACGAAAACAGCTTTGACTTTTGGGGAAATGTAGAGAACTAGCTCAGAAGAGACATGAAGAGCTCTGGAAACACCGGCAAGACTGAGAACAAAGAAACCGAGGATGAGGAGTGAGGTGAAGGAAAAATGAGAATACACCTTTGGCGCATATTGATGAGGCCACTAATTATATTTATCGCCATAAAGTCATTGACATTCTCCCAGCATTATTAAGTATATACATGTGTATGTGTGTATATATATGCACACAGGCACACCACCTTCATAATATCATGATTAATCAAATTATACTTCGAGATTATTTAAAAATCAACTAGATTTAATTTCTATAGCATTATTATTTCTAACAATACCAAAGTGGTCTCAGCATTACCTAGGAGTGGACAAGGCTTCTATTACTAATTCCATTATATTAATTTCTGTCCTCTGAGCTCCTCTTTTGAACTTGTGATGACTTTTAATGAGCTGCTTGTAACAAGATAATGACTTCAATTCCAACAAGAAATAATGAAAGGGATAATTTTTTTTAGCATTTTATTTCTTGCTTTGTGCACTTTACCTGATTCTTGAGATCCAACTTGGGACACGGGCGACCTCCATTGTAAGGTTTTTCTTTTAGCCATTTGGATCGAATTCTCACTCCAATCCCACAAGATGAACTGCAAGACCCCCAACTAGACCAGTCGCTTAACTTGCAATCAAACGGACAGGGGATGATGCATTCTTCTTGAACATAACCTGAAAGAAAGAGATTTAAGAGAAGGGAGGAAATTCTGGTCAGAAGGTACTAACAAATTTACTTTCTGTTTCCACTATCACAGCTCAGATTGCTCAACAATGTTCCCACGGTGGCTTCAATAATTTTCTACTGAAATAAACAAAGTTTTAAGAGAGAGACATGTGTGATTGTATCTTCATTCCAAATTTGTGCCATCTGTTTACTTCATAGGCAATTCTGGGATGGAAGGAGCAAGGAAAAGTGTGGTTAGTCCTGCTTTCGGATAAGAAGATATGAAGCAGTTCAAGGCTAATGATGGCACCATCTCCCCTCACTGGGCTTTGTGTCTTACAATTCACCATCTGGGAACAGGGAGCATAATAGAGTCAACCTTTCTTAGTGGCTGTGATCTGAAAGGCTTTCACTGGGCAAGATCTTGATTCTCACCTCCAGGTAGTGTGACGTGGAGGTGGGAGGAGAGTGGACCACAAATTAGAGAGAGCAGGATATTATTGCAAGAAGAAAGTAGGATAGTGAAAGGTGTATAATGAGATATGGGACCGGAATCAAGAGATATGGGTTGAAGTGCAGATGCATATGTTCTAGCTTTATTCGGTCTTGTTCCTGTCCTTGGTTCACTTCTTGCTACCTTCTTTCTCTGGATGATCTCATTATTTAACCATCACCTCTACCAATCACGACCAAATATGTATTTCCAATTCTGATCTCTCTACTGAGTTCTATACCACCTACTGATACACTCAGTTGGATGCCCAATTACCCCCAAACTCAACATGTCAAAAACTGAGACCATAAATATCTTCCTAAAACATTCTAATTCTCTTGTATTCCTCATCTGTTTTGTTTTTTTTTTTTTTTTTGAGGAAGTTCAGCCCTGAGCTAACTACTGCCAATCCTCCTCCTTTTGCTGAGGAAGCCTGGCCCTGAGCTAACATCCGTGCCCATCTTCCTCTACTTTATATGTGGGACACCTACCACAGCATGGTGTGCCAAGTGGTGCCATGTCTGCACCTGGGATCCAAACCTGCGAACCCCGGGCCACCAAGAAGCGGAACGTGCAAACTTAAGCAGTATGCCACTGGGCTGGCCCCTGTATTCCTCATCTTAAATAACTGTAATATGTCTGATTCCTGTACCCTGGTGTACATGCCTGTATAATCTCTTTCCCTTGAGTCTGGGCTGGATTTGTAAATATGATAGAACATCACTCCCTTGATTAGGTTATGGTATGTGGCAAAGGGGACAAGAACTCACAGATATAATTAACATGCCAAATCAGCTGATTTTGAGTTAATCAAAAGGGAGATTATCCTGGGTGGGTCTGACTTAATCAGGGGAAAACTCTTGAAAGAGTGACTACATTCTTTTTGTGGAGAAAGAGATTCTCCTGCTGACCTCAAAGAAGCAAATAGGCATGCTTTGAAATGCCTATGGAGTGGCCACCTGGCAGGGGACTGCAAACAGCCTCTAGGACATGATGGCAGCTCCTGACTGTCAGCCAGCAAGCAAAGAGGGGCCTTAACTTTATGGGTGTGTAGAGATGAATTCTGCCAACAGTTCCAAGGCAGCTTGGAAGAGGAGCTTTCCCCAGTCAAGTCTCTGCTGAGACCTCAGCCTTGGCCCATACCTTGACTGTATCCTGGTGAGACTGTTAAACAGAGAATCTAGAGAAGCCAGCCCTATACTCCTGACTCATGGAAACTGTGAGATAATAAACATTTTGAGCTGCTAAATTGGTGGTAATTTGTTATGCAGCAGTTGAAAATTATCAGATTATCCACAATAAAAATCTCACAGTTATCTTAGACCTTCCTCCATCTTTTACACATAATTAATAGGTACAATAAGTTCCTATATTGAAACATCACAAATATGTCCCCTACTCTACAATTCCTTTGTCAGTCCCTGGTTCAAGATGTCACTGTTTCTGGCCCAGAATACTGCAAAATTCTCTCCAGTCATTTCCCTCTTTCCTAATCATTCCCTTTTGGTATGGGTCAGTCACTCTGAGGAAAAAGTTAATTTTCTAAAATTCATAACTTGTGCTACTCCTCCTTTTAAAACCTTTGCTGATTCTCCACCGCCTTAAAAATAAAGTGCCAACCGCTTTGTAAAAACTGTAAGATTCTTTATAAAAGGTTCTAAACAAAGGTTTTCAAACTTGGCTGTAAAATATATTCCTGATGTTCAGGAAAATCCGCAGAGCAATTCGAGCAGAATCTCAGAGGACAAGAGCTAGGCATCGATAGTTTTCAAACATCCCCAGGGGATTCTAATGTGCAGTCAAGTCTGAGAACCACCTCCCTAACTTGTTTTCTCCCTGCCCTTCCCTCTCATATATCTTGAAATATGTCCATACAGACTACTCCATCTTCTCCCATAATATTCATGCCTTTCCTCCTGCAAAAACTCTGCTTTCTCTAACCACTTTAGCCCTCCTGGTTCATCACTGCAACCACTCTCTTGCCAATATGGCTGACCACCCAGCCCTATCGTTCTTCTGCCATATGCCAGTCTGGTAAAATGTCAGAGCTAGACTGGTCCAGCTGTTTTCTACTCTGTGCTTAACACTGGACTACCAAGCAGAGATGAAGAAAATGTTAATACCACACTGTGACACTTCAATGTGTAGTCTCTGTCGTCAACCAGGTTCTCACACTTCTTGGTGATTCTTTCTGAGTTTCCTTCTCACTCCCATTCCACATCACAGCTTTTCCAAACCTTCTCCACCTGTTTTCAAACTTTTAAGACCTCACTTCCACTTTCCCCTCCCCAAAATAGAAAGAAATGAATAAGAACTCCTTCAATTTCCTATGAATATATCTGTATGCATTGCCATCTTTTTTCTTCTCTCTTCATGTTCCAATGGAAAAGCCATCTATTTTCCTATATTAGGTACATTTTCACCACTTGATCTCTCTCCAAACTCTTTCAGGACCTTGTTTTGTTGATTGCATTTCCTTTCTCTCTCTCAGTATGTTTGTATTATATACATTTATTTTATACTGATATTTCTCTTAGATAATATTAGAATGACTTTATATTCCCCAAATGATATTCATCAACAAGAGAAAGTACACAAAACATATAAGAGTCATCAGGAAGGGTCCTTCTGCACTTGAAAAAAAAATGCTCCATTTGAGGTTGTTAAAAGACTAATTCTCTATTGTTTAACATAATTGTAATTCTACAGTCCTTTCTAAGGAGCTTTGATCACCAATTCATTATTAGGTACATAATAAATGGTAAATATAGGATTAAATAGGGGCCACAGGCATTACTTAATTTTACAGAAAAATTGAGTCGCAAAACGATTCCATTCACTACTGAATAAAAAAACAGGACTAGTAATTAAGTGGAAGTAACTCTCATGGCATGCATGCCTCAAATATGAAATTCCAGAAAACTTCATATAAATAACTTAAATGTTTGAATGCCTATATAGATCCTATCTTAAAGAAGATTTTGAATTAGATGCCCTTTTAATTCAAAGAGATTTTAAATCATTTTCATCTATACCTGCATATTAAGGATTTTAATTAGAGAGCTTCTAGCAATACTTTTCTTTTTGTTCCCCATGATAACATGTAAACCCAGAGGATCTCTATGAAAGTCAAGGTCATAAATTCAATGAGTATAAAATAATTTTGAAATTCAACAGGACTAGGCAACAGTGACATTTATTTTTCAGGAAAGTTATTTTCACGCTAGAGTATACCCCAAAGGAATGCCCTGAGTGAGAACCATTAACAATTGCATATTCTCATACATATCTCATAATTGAAAGGATTAGTTTTACTCACATACTTAATACTTACAATTTTTGGCAACAGAATATGATCAAGTTGTCACTACCTACAAGGTTAACCTGCCAGATGAGAACACCAATTCCGACTATGGAAATTTTCCTAATGTTTCTAAAACTCATTTACATAAAATATACCACAGCATAGCTTCACTGGCAACATTCATAAATCTAACTTCAGTTGCTATGAAAGAAGCAGTTTTTCTACCAAAAATATTTTACACTATAATTTATATGCAGAATACATTGCTTAGACCATCATATTACTTGGCCTGGGGATGCTTTGATGTTCTATTTTGGTTATCTGTATGCATATGAAGTTAGGTATGAAATAGTCATTACAGAATTATTAATAGAGCATACGCCCAACATTATGATTTTGTAAACCATATATATAGTAAGTGCTCGAAAAGTATCTGCTGATCTTCTAGATAGAGATAACTGAATAGGATTCGTAATGGTATCTCTATTTATGTTAAACTGGAGGAATTTATTTAATGACTTATATGCATTAGGGCTGAAGCCCAGGGACCTGGAATGCCTTTCAATCTATATTACTAACCCCCAAATATTGCTTTGTAGGTTAGAGCAATGGATGGAGAGAAAACGTAACTCTCTGAATAAGCCAGTCTCATTGATAAAACTACTTTCTAGAAAATTACCTGCCGTATATTATTTTTCTCCATCATTTAAACACTAACACATTTCTCCCACGATAAGATCTTGTTTTGGAGGACATGAAGGAAGAAAATATTGATGAAATTAAGCTTGAAGAAATAACCTAGATTAATTTACTTATATTTTTCTACTGTGTAAAACAATGGCAGACATCCTACTAGACGGTGCATGCTCTACTTACTGACATTTTGCTAAAATAATGAAAACACAATACGAAAAATAAGACAGGGAAAAGATAAACATTATCTCTTTCTCACTTCAAAGTGAAGACCTGGGAGAATCTTGTGAGTTAAAATGATATCATGTCTTCATTTCTCAATATTTAAAGATTTACTGTTTTAATTTGTACATTTTGTTACTACTATTTATCTAGTACTGCACCATCCTTAAAAGTATCTGATGACTTAAGTCAGAGAAGTTTAGAGTAGATATTTGCTTAGGAGAGGAGGGGAAGAAATAGGGGCAGATGTTTTGACACTGTTGCAAGAAAGATAGTTTGAAGAATTAGATTAATAC